ACTGATGTTGATAGATGTACTGAAACAATTCCTTTAACCTGCAATGGTGAGTAATAGAGTGAGCTTCGAAAAACTCAGTAATACAGAACTACAAGATGATGCTACATGACATATAGATAAATGAGAAGCCATAATTTCCTTATTGAATCAAACATATACCAATAGCGGAATAATCTAGGGTTCCATTAATAGTTTATAAGAAACCTTTCATACAATCACGTTTTCATGAGATCGAATAGGATGTCTAGTGTGTTCCATCAGTACGATAAAATCATAATAGGTACACTAGTCAAATGATAGTTTAGTAAAATCTCATAAATCATACTGTAGTGGAGCTTTTTAAACTCGTATTTTAAATCATCTTACAAATATTTAACCTAAGGGAACATCTTAGGGCATGATAGCCTACCCAAGAAAGTTCGGGGCCACGGGGCCTATTTAAGAACACATTTTAGGGCCGCGGGCCTACCCGAGAATGATCTCAGGGCCGTAGAGCCTACCTAAGAGTCACATTAGGTCCATAAAAATTTTCCAGCTTGATCAGAGCTATACTTTACAAATCTGTATCTCCAAGATACAATTTATACAATGATATAAATCCATAAGCCATCACCGTTAAAGTTGGTGTATCCATAAAATAGTAACCATAGATTTCAGTGTACCACATATTAAAACAATAAAATAATTTTTTTTCAAAATATAAGGAACACACTAAAGAATCCAAATATTTTTCAGATGCATTTTGTAGTTATTAGTATGGATAACATGAACTTGTGCAATTTGATCGGATTCCAGGAATAAGATCTTATTGAAGAGAATTGATTTTTAACCGATCTAATTAGACATTTCAGGTTGATACTTTAGAATTCCACTAAGTTTCCATGTGTATCAGGAAAACGTTCAGGAACCTTTATACATAATAATTCTAAATTCAGATTTATTTCGAGTGATTCCGTTACCAAAACAATCAGGGGTATTCAGAAATATACTTTGAATTTATAGGATTTCAGCCCAATTGAACCAAATGAGGTATTCAGAATCTTTTTCTTCTACGTTACTTGCATTTTCAAACATGACCGAAGTGATTTTAAATGAAAATATAGAATCGAAGATTCAAGTCATTTACAATCTATGACTATCGATCATATTATCCAACAACTCGAGTTACACAACTCCCAAACTGATGCATGTCAACAAGTCAATTCATTATTATTCCAGTGTATTCACTCTTTAATACCATAATGCAGATCCATAGATCATCCCCATAATCATCGTTGAATAGATCTTCCAACGGTCTTTATTTCATTTCCACGTTTCAACGATATCAGGAAATACGAACGTACTTGATTCATGCTTCATAACCCATAAGGATAATTCATCATATAAGTTAAACAATGTTTCCAAACTAATCCAATCACCTATTTAATCCTTAGTCATTGAGGTTACTTAGTTCGTTTAGTAAACAAGTTTATCCCTGTTACTTTAGAGTTTTCCTGAACAATTCAGACGTTCATGAATTTCAAATACATGTTGTACTTCCTTTCAACTCAATTTAGTCATATAATAAAGTCATTCTGGTTTTCGTGGCTGATTTGTCTCACGAATACCCACTTATTAGTACGATATACGCTCTAGAGTTGAGCTGAGCCAAGTACTTCCAGAATTATCATCGATCCCAATTTGAGAATACGAACAAACATTCAAATGGTACTTATATCATTCAGGTAATGATATAGCACTAGCGTTGGTTGATCACTTAAGCTGCGTTCTATAACTTTTACTGGTAGCACAACATCCATGTTTATTTGGATATCTTAATTAATCCATGACATTTACTTAGTCTAGGACATAAGGGTATATTGGTCTTTTTTTATGCTCAATGATCTTCCATACATTTCAAAGCTTGAGGATATTCATTCATTCCCGGCTTGGTGATATTCTTTAATCATTTCCATTATAGGGGTATTTTGGTTATCTCACAGATCTAGAATATTTCAATCATTTCCTTCTGTCCGGTCTTATTATTTAATTCAAACATATCATTTACGTCAGTCCCTTCGAGCTATTCCGACAAAATATCACCATCGATAAATTATTATTCTTCATGTACTTACTCATCGGAGATTTCCAGGTTAAATGCCTTCCCTGATGTTACTAACGGATTATCATGAATTTTCCATACAAAAAAAAGATCTCAATAATCAAATCAGTAATTTATCAGTTTAAAAACAAATTCTCATGTTATTTCCTCATTCAAAGTCAACTTGGACTATTTTTACCTCTCAAGGGCATTTTCGTAATTTCTTAACCAGATTATTTCAGTATTAACTCTTAACGAAAATAATTATATTTTAGAGATCCAAATGGTTAATTGCTTTCCCGAACATTCTTTGATCTCGAAATGATTCCTTAACAGACTTCTAGTATCTTGTACAAACCCTGTTGGAGTTAAAAACCAGTTATCCAAATTTTCTAAGCAAAACTAGCATTTCTTTTGCACATCTGTAATTTTATCAGATCAATATGTCTTCTCAGAGTTATTAACCAACTTCCAGGAACAATTATTGTCATCTTACAACATAAGGGTATTTTCATAATTTTACCCTACCGGAGCATTCTCATAATTTCCCATCCAAGTACCTTTAACATTTAACCTTTGATTATATGCTACAAATCCATGATAATACCTTTATCACTAATCATAGATCTCATAATTTAATTCTAACAATCCATCCATTTCTTATATCAGTCATCTGAGCCATATTCATTTACCAAATTTTTACTGTATTCGAATCGTGTGTAGAACTTCATTAATTACCCATATGAGACCAAACATTTCCATTCATGCATTTACCAATACCAATATGTTCCATAAAGCATGAAAAGGTAGTAATTTATTACCTCGATTTCCGTTTCATACTGATCAACCATATAAATTCCATTCGAACGCCCTCGATCTTGAAATCATCCTCCAATAATTCCTCATATGCATATCAATAGGAATTATATAAAAAATGAAGCTTAATTGTGAAAAACAGATCGAATATGGTGATTAATCAGTTAAAACAGCTTACTGGGTTCAAATTTGGAAAACGAATCGGAGTCGGATTCAGGACGTCAACAAAACCCAAAATATTACTCCTGAAATCCAGCTCACCAACTTGATTTCTAGCTTCCAATCTTTTTCTAACGAACACGGACAATCTATCATACAAATACGACTTCAAATAATTTTCCTCACCATAAAAATAACTTATTAGAATCTAATTAATAATTTGGGGACCCAATTGTTAAAACTAAAAACTTTAGGAGTCAATATAATTTTTAATTACTAAGGTTATGGACTAAATCGATCTTAATAAATTTATTATGCTATAATCATAACAATATGAAATCTAAGAAATAAGGTTGAGCTTTAAACAACTTGGATGGATTACCTTGCAATTTCCCCTTCTCACTTTAATAACAACCCCAAAAATCACGTGCACCCTTTTTTTTTCTTTCCAAAGCCATGTACACTGCCATTCATTCATTTCACACTTTATTTCCACGCAGCTTTCGTCAATTCTCATTTCTTTTTTTTTCAAGTCGTGCTCTGAAGGTGAACAAAGAACCTTCATCGGCGACAAGCGAACACCGGCGACCACTGTGTCGACCGTCGTCTCCGATCATCGTTCAAAACATAAAATACATCGTTCGAACCACCTCATGTTAATCGTCACGAATCCGACCTCCAATCATCCAAAAACATCATTAATCGTTGTAGATCTAGTGAAAACCATGAGATTTTCTTGAAGTAAAACATGTCGATATACCTCCGATGATCGTCCAATGGTGCAAAAGTTCTCTCTGCTAACTCAAGATGAGAAACCTTAGAGTCTTCTTCTATATTCTTCTCTTTTTTTTAAATGAGCTGAAAGGCCTCCAACATCGCATCTATGTTCATAGTTGCATGTCTGGACCTCATAGACTTCATTTCATCAAGTGCAGCAAGGATGTCATTCTCTTATTAAGTGGCCCTAGGTGTCCGAAAAGGACATTGAACCTAACACACCTAACTAATTATCACTACCAACCAATATACATGAGACCTTAATAATTACAATAATTGGGGTGTTACAAAAGGTACCTTGGCATAAATTGGTTTGGTTTCCTGGGTGTATCCCGAAGTAAAGTACCATTTTGTGGATTGTCATCCTTGACATGCTACCTACTCGGGTGAGACTCCTGCGAATGGGCCTGAATATTGATATTGATAAGTGCTTATTTTGTGATTTTGAATCTGAGACTCTGGGCTACATATTTTTTGGTGCAATTTTGCTAAAGAATTGTGGGGGAATGTTCTCTCTTTGTGTGGTATTATGCGCAATGTTAGTACATGGGATAGGGAGTTAGACTGGGCTATTAAACTCCTCAGAGGCAGATCTCTCATTGTGCAAGTTCTGAAGCTTGTCATTGCTGGTCACGTTTATGGCTTATGGTGCGAGAGAAATAGTAAATTATTCAGGGGTCGAGCTAGGTTGGTAGGTGACGTGCTCAATGACATCCGGGATACCGTTCAGATCCGTCTAAACAATTGGTCCATTTGCAAGACTGATTCGAGGAATGCTGTCCTCTGTGCAAGTTGGGGTATTTTGAGCTAATGTACTTCTGCTTTGTTCTCCCTTCTGTTTTCATTATTGTTATTTTGATGTTTATGTAGCATACTGTTATTTGTAGCAGGATTTTCTGCTTTCTTGAGTAATACAATGGAATTATCCAAAAAAAATATAATATAAAAGTGGTAAATAATTGTTAATATTTTTTGAGGTTTCGAATTTAAACGTATCATGACTATCATATGTATAAATATTTAATATCAAATGATTAAAAATTATATTATATTCATCACATAATAATAATAATAATAATAATAATAATAATAAAACATATAATATAATTAAATTTATAACTTTTTTTAGGGAGAGTTCATAAAATAATTTCTCCAGAGACGGTGGAGAAAAGGTGCGAAGCGAATACATTACCGCTAAAGATTTTCACTGTTTTAAATCGGGTCTTTCAATCAATCAGAGTATCCATACTGAATCAAACCAAAAAAACTCTTCAAAGCTCGAAAGGAAGAAGGAATGGCGAGTTCATCTCAGCAGGTTGATGCTCAGTCCCTTCATCCGCCTGCGCCAGAAGAAGCTGAATCTCTGCTCTCTTCTCTCGTTTACGGTTAATTCTCTGCCTCATTTTTTCTCCCTCCCTTCTGTTCAATAATAACTTTCCTTTCGCTTAAAATTTCAAAATGCATTCAATATTCTCTTTTCTTACTTGATTTCTCCTTTCAATGATGGCATGTTATAGAATTTCACGTTGAACAAATGCTTTCCCTCATCATTACCTTCGTAATTGAAGTTGTATAAGAAACGGTGTGAAACGTGAAGGTCTTGGCTTGAATTATTTTGAAAATACGTTGGCCGTTGTTAATTTCTTGAGATCGCTTGTTTTCTTTGTAATTTTTGTGGATTCTGGACATTTTTCAAGGATGATAAGCTGAACAGACAGATTTCACTATTATGAACACGTCCTTGTAAAGCTTTTACAATTTTATTTTCTCCGATCGTGTTATTTTCCTTATATTTGTTTATCTCGCACAATGATAGTTGGTAACTTCGATTTAATTAATACAGATTTGTCGCAACAAGTTCAGATGGCAATGGAGAATATGCTTAAGATGATAAAGTAAGTGACTCGTTATTTGTTACTTCATCGGTGAATAATGTCGATGTGGAACTTTTTTCTTGGAATAGTTGTTAATTAATTTTATTTCTATATCTGAACTTAAGCCTTCTTGTGAGAATTACGCAGAGAAATATTTAATGTATTCTAATGCGTATATGCTTTCTTCATTTTCCCCCCTTGTTTTCTTTACACTTTTTGTTATCATTTTGGGTCCTTTGTTCTATCTCTATGCTAGATTTCTGTTTGTCTGAGAAACTGAGTTTTCGAGAATTCACAACTCACTGTTAGTTTATAGCCAGGGAAAATGAATTTGTCTCCAGGACTTCTCATTCTTTATTTTTGGGATCCGACATTTCTGTATTGCCTCACTCTTTCCTTAGACATTCTTTCCAAAGGGGGAGACGGGTTTAATAAATCATTAGCTTGTTGCAGACACCGTATTTCTACTAACACTACGTTCCGTTTACCTTTTAAATAAATTTCTGCAGTGAAATTGATCAAAACTCTTCAGGAATAATGGAAGAGGTAGAGAAGTGCAAAGGCTCTGCTCTTGAAAGGAAGAAAAGCTTGGAGGAAGAGAAGGATCAGTTCCAGAAAGCCGCATACACTGTTTTGGAAATGCTGAATACTAGAGAATGAATGGTGTAAGCTCTATAATTTCCATCACCACATTCCTATTACTCTTACGGAGAATCTAATAACCGAAGATGGCTTAATCTTGGGCATAAATAAATGCACCCTAAAGCACAATGAATAAATTTTGATTGCCTCTGTCACAAACAGTGATACACATATCCATTCACATGCACATGCAACTATAATGCTAATATTTCTTTATTTAGAAATGTCAAGCGCCATAACTTCTTACCCATTTAGAATAATCTTCATTTAAACAGATCAACATATGGATAAGTGATAACCGATAAATATTATTTCATTTTATCACTTAAACAATGAATAAGTGATCATTCTCTCTCAAAGCATTAAGTTCTTCAACTTCTGAGCCATCTGCCATAAGAATAGTGCTGCCTCTCTTTCCAAGTTTCTTTTCTGCATTAACGAGATATAGCCAAATTCATCATCCTCCATCGATGCTCACTTATTCTTCCTTTTTATTTTTCAATCGTAAGTGTATATTAGAATAGCCAAGAGGGCATACTGTTTCCCTCGTAGTTAAGTACAATAACTTTCCACTCATTTATTAGTGAAATTAATTTCACTAGATGAGTTAACCTATATGTTAAGTTCTTTCTATATTTTTGTGATGCAAAATGAAAATGGCTCTTCTATTGATTTAATATGCTAAGCTTCATGTTTGACGTTTCAATATCAAAATTTTCAACATGTAGTCTTGCACTCGGAATCTTCACTTAGGAATGAGCTTTGATCTTTCTGTTTGTTTATTGGTTTGGTTGCAGTTTTACCCATTCCTTCTGTCTTTTAGCATGCTATGGGGAAGTTGAAAACAAATATTTGCTTTTTGAGAAGATTATAGTTCTGTGATACCTGCTAGACTGAAGAGGTCTTCAATTGAGTCGGGCAAATTTATAAGCTTCCCCAATCTATCACTACACATTGTTTCTTCGGATGGATGATACCCATAGATTATCACCCTAATGGTACCTGTACTTAGTGAAGGGGTGGAATTGTCTGGTGTTCCTACAAAATGGTTGAATCAATCATATATGCAAATATCTAGAGAATATTATGCACTTTATTATGAGAACATATATCTGGATTTATTTGAAAAATAATTTTGTATAGGCATAGCACCAATATTGTGTAATCCATGCACTAGAACGGTAATTTGTGGAAATAGAGTTTCTACCATCCAAGGTAGATGATAGATTTTCCCTTTCCCTCCTTAAAAACAAAGGATTCACCCCTATGCTCAAATATGTTACATGTCAAAACAAAATTAGATGCTAGTCAAGAATTGACATGATATAGGGAAAACAAGTGAATGTTTTGATTAAATTAGTTTATTATATGATAATAACCAGTTGCTGCTGCTATAAGTTTTAGCAATTATATGATAATAAGTTCTCTGGTTGTGCATCCACGCTTTGTATGGGCTTATGGGAGCATTCTTAAGATCTGGTGATATATGCTTAAAAGTTATTAGTCCATTAGATATCATTAGTGAAGAAGCTATTTACCTTTTCGATTTGCATCCGTGGAATCCAATGTTCCTCTGTTTTGTTTCTCCTCATTTTGTGACTTAGGCTGCAAAGGAACAGAAAAGAATTTAATATGCTTATCACGCAACTATGGTATAGATTCTTATAAAATGTTATCTTTATTCTTTCTGTTATCTTTATAAAATGTTATCTTTATTCTTATATAATGGTATAGATTCTTATAAAATGTTATCTTTATTCTTTCTGTTACTTACAAACACAATTCTGGCTCACATTTATCTAAGTGTTTCAACTTTAGGATGGAAACATACCTGTATATTCTGGTACGCCAGCAATTCTCTTTGGAAAGGTAGTTCCTGTAGCATATCTTTCCCTAAGCCTATCAAGTACTGAGAAAAAAAGAGTCGGAGTAAAAAGTGCCCTTAAATTTTTGGTTAAACTTTTATGGATGAAGATTTTGTATTGTCCATGAATTGATTGTGAGGTTTCATTGTTCATTTTTCTCTAAACCATTGATGGAACTGCTTATTCATATTTAAATCACTGTTACATGCTCTGATCTAAAATATTTTTTAACAGCTTTACGTCCTATGTGGATGAATTTACCCATTTAAAAATGCTTTTACTTATAAATCACATCTTTTGATAGAACTGACTGTAGGCTGCCTATTTGTGTACATGATATAGTTCACATACCTGTATGAAGTTTGCGATAATAATCATTCCATCTTCACTTCCTGATTGCAGCATTTGTTTGAAATTATGATGACTTATTCGGATAACCTGGGAGAGTCTCCTAGTTCTCACTGTGAAAGGTTGGGGAATATTGAAAATCACTCCAATTTCTCCTGCCATATCTGCAGATTCTAGATTTGACAAAAACTTGAAAAAGGAAAGCTGGAACTTAGTTTAAGACGAATAAAAAGAAAGATGCTTTAGTTTAAATTACTGGTATGATATGCACTCGGGTCTCCTGATCAATGATCATGGTCATATCTTAAGATGCCTTATCTTTTCATATCATGATCATTTCTAGTTTCAGTTTGCTAATAAAATAAGTCATCTTTGTATGCTTCATCTTTGATCAACATTATATCTATGTTTTTACTATTAAGTTCTCCAATCATTATGAAATATATTTTCGTAGAAAAAAAGATAATACCTGCTCCGTTCCATTCTTGTATGTCACCACATCCTGTAGTTTTAGGGAGTTCAGACTTTTCTTATGATGTTAAGAAAAATGCAAAAACGCATATGATTGAACGATGCTGTACCACTGCTCCTGATACTAGAATGTAGAACTCTGTAGGTATCTCATTTTGTAAAATAATTTCAACCCTCGGAGGAAAGTATTCTGCTTTCATCTCTGATACCTGTTAAGAAAAAAATACCATGAAGTACTGACGTATTATAGCTATTTACAGCAGTTAATGCTCTGCTTCTGTTTTAACATAGAAACATAGTATTTCTTAAGTAAGGTTGCCTCGCTAGTGGTCTGCACAGCAACTTAAATGGGGAGTTTACTCATAATAAATAGAAATATTGGTACCAACTGAGAAACAAGGTCTTCGGAGACTCCTCGAAATAGGTAGGTATTTTCAACAGTTTTCCGGAAGAGGTGTTGGGCAATGCTGGATCTTATTGCCTTGGGCAGGTCTTTTAGAACTTCTTCTTGCTTTAACTCGGCCGTCTTGAACTTAAGTTTCATGTGTGCCACCATTTGTTCTCTCATTCCTTCCGGTAGTCTATTCTTGCTTGCATATAGCAATACCTCATTGATGCTATCCCTCTGTCGAGACACAATCTGGTTATAGTCTATTAGACAGAATCATATCAAATATGGTAGTCTGTTTACTTTGTTCGTAGAACCAGCAAAGCAAGAGTAATCGATCCGTTTCCGAGATCATCGAGTGCTCTATATGTTGCTAGAAGATGTTAGTTCATAAATGAAAATAGAGATGAAGAGAGAATCACCATGGCAAAGGTTTTAACCGCAGCATGGACGACAAGATTCGTCATGTTACCAATTATGTAGGCAGTGAGGCCAATGTTGAATAGCATATAAATAATGTTAAACACCTGTTCTGTTTTATTCACGGAATAAAAGTCTCCATAGCCGACTGTAGTAAGAGTGACGGTGGACCAGTAAATTGAACAGGTGTAACCATGCCAGACACTTTTTTGCTTAAAATCTCCTATCTTTTTCCCAATCCATGTGCGTTCTGGTGGTTCGTGGTGTGTAGCTAGCCAGTAATAGAAGCAACCGGCTGAGTGCACTGAAAATAGGGTTACCTGCCATTTTGAGTATAATGAATGAAGTTTAATTCCAAGTGTTTGGTTAGAAATGGGAGATTGGATTAAGTAGAAAATAATACTCACACATAATAGTTTCAGAAGCCTTGTCCAGAAGTAGCTAAAGCGTATGTCCTTTTCTAACCTATAAAAAAATGTTAATATTTAATAATAAAATAACCTGACCGGACAATTCATATTTAAGAATTACATGCCATAATTGTGTTTAAAATATTATATATTTAATACAGACTTTTAATATATATAGAGAGATGCATTCTTAGAATTTTGAAGGATAATGCAAATAAATCTCACATTGTTAAAATATTTGCTTTTATAAATGTTTATATAGTGTTTTGTGAGTTTATTTTCTTTCTGTAACAGAAGAGTTTATGCTTATTATTCGTTCGATTTGATTGAATCGTTCTTTATGTTTGTGTTAACATATGTTTTTCCTTTTGGGCAACTGTCCATTTGTTATGGACCATTATACCCTTATGCTCCTTTCATTTGCTAAACACACATCAAAGCATTCACACCACCTTCTCTTCATTTCTCCTGTTCTATAATCTCTTTAATTTGTTCGATTCCTCATGGTTCGGTAGCTCCCTTTGCTTTTCTTGCCTACTGAAAAGAGTAATTCATTTTGAGTTTCATCTTTATTTTTGGATGTACGAAACTGTAAATATTGTATTAATCTTAGAAAATGATATCTATTTTTCGATTCCTCGTGATAATATTTTATTTCAGTGCTTACTTTATTATTTTGTACTAGTCATTACTAATATTTCTGTTTTATTGTAGTATTATTACAACATATGAGAGTTGCTAAAAAAAACTAATGCAAGGTGTCAAATTAAGCACGATTTACCTTTTGAAAAGTTCTTTAACACGGCGGAGACGCCAGAGACGAAGCAAGTTGAGGAGGAGAAAGGCTTTGTGGGTGTGCCATTCACCGGTGAAGATTTTGCTTATTAACTCGAAAGGTAGTGTAGATGCTACGTCCATAAAGAACCAGAATCTTGTCACATATCTGTAAGTTCACATTTCTTTTAAATATTAGAGCGGAGAAATTATAATTTAAATCTTTAGAATCATCAGTGGATGCACGGAGAAAAATGGGTAAAACAAAAATACCGCAACGCAATTCTCTTGTGATCATCAACGAGAAGAAAAGTTGAAGTATCCAAGTAAGCGACGAAAAAGGTTAAGGCGATATCGATGGCGAAGAAAGCGTCGACCACCAAATCAACGAACAAGAGCAGTCCATCCTCGGTTTCCTCGAAAGCTAACTCCAAAGTAGATGCCCATGCGGAGTATATCACCAGCACCACCAAAAACGTTTGCCACCACCTGCGAGGGAGGGAGTTAGAAACAACATTTTTATGATATTTGTCGTAGCTAATTTACTCACCGGTATCTACGATCATAAGGAGCAATAACACTTTTCTTGAGGGGCAAGTAAGCATCACCGATAACAGTTCCGAACGCCGGTAACAAGCTACTCGAAATGGAAGCCAAATTGTTCTTTATATCGCCGGTTGGTCGTCTTAGGAAATGTAACGGTACCGGGGAATGTGATGACACATTTTTTGCCATTGCATCCCTGATCGGATCAGAACTAGTAGTTTTGTTTGTTTATTGAAGAGGTTTTTCGAGGAAGAAAACTAATGACGACGGGCACTGACATTGAGGTTTAGTATATTCTTAACAATGGCAAGCAAGCTGGCTATTGCACAGTACAAAAATCACACCTACACTAGTCCAAAAGGGAGGATCCCAAAGTAAGCTACCTAGTGATTTTCAGCAGTAAATTATGTATTTAGTATATATATTCTAACTAGGCTAATTTTAATTTTTATATATTTTTAAAAATGTAAAAGTTAAATCATAATTTAAATATTACGGGAATAATATGACTAGACTGAATGAACTTAGAATAATTAAATTAGAGTATAGAAATTAAATATATAAATTACGCTTAGTACAAAGACTAATAATAGAATGTGACTTAATAGATTTAACGATCATTGTTTAGATAATGGTTAAAATTTAAAATTTTAAAAATTAAAAATAATAAATTAAAATATAACGATTAAATCCATAATTTTACCTAATTTAAAGATTTTCAAATTGTCTAGAAATATAATACTTATTTATAATATTTTTTAATCATTGACAACATATATAAATTAAAATAATAGATGTAATATTTTAAAAAATTCTATAAAAAAATCTCATAATTAGGTCAAAGGTAAATGAAGAGTGAGGGATTCTTTTGGCATTTCAAAATTTTTGGTTTAATAACATTTTTTTAATCATTCCTACATTAGGAAGGAGGAATTTTAGTCTTAATAGATAAGTTCATATGAGTTTAAATTTAAGTAAAATTATATTTTTGTTCTCTTTAATTTTTTAAATTAAATATCTAACAAATTTCTATTGTTTTGGACTTGGATAAGTTTTCTCTCTCAACATTTGATTTTAATTTCGTCACTGCTCATAATGCATACATTAAAGTTAATTTTTAGGTGTGAAAATTCGATCATATTTTAATTATTTTTTTTCTTTTTCATTAACCAATATAAATTTAATCACTATTATTATATGGTTTTCATGATGATAGATTTATTAAAAAATAATAGAAAAAATTATTGATCTGGATCTTAATTCTTAATCCACTTTTAAGTTACATTTGCACGTCGAAACAAAACGATGATGAGTTACATATCACTGCTGTTAAAAATATATAAATTGATAATAAAGTTGTATAACAGTGAAAGCTGGTTGTCAGGGTGGCCGAGTGGTCTAAGGCGCCAGACTCAAGTTCTGGTCCTCTAACGAGGGCGTGGGTTCAAATCCCACTTCTGACAATATTAGACTTTTTGATTTCTTTTTAAAATGTAAAACTTATAATTCACCCAATAAACATCAGGTAGCGAAAAAATCGGTTTATAAAAAAATTGATTCGGATCTTAATCGGTTTAGAGGGCCGGATGGTGTAACCGATTTTGGTTTGAAAAAAATTGGTTTTTTTTTTTAAAACCAAATATAAAAAAACCGATTTTAATATTATTAAAATTACATCGTCATTAATTGCAACAAAGTTTACGATAATTGAAATACTTAAATACTTCCAAGTTCGATAAATTCAAATACTTAAAAATTTTCAAGTTCGATAAATTCGAATACTTAAAAACTTTCAAGTTCGATAATTGAAACAAAGTTTACAATAATTGAAAAAAAGTTTAAAAATAAACTACATTGCCATCTCTTCTTCATCATCTTCGCCTTCTTCGTTTGGAGGGGATATTCCAAATTCGACTTCTTCAATGTGTAAGTTTGCTTCCAAATCGATATCAATTGCATCTTTTAGGGTGGTGATATGTTGTTTCCGAGTCGCTCCATCCAAATAATCCTTCAAACAAATGCATACTTCCACCGACTCAAGACTTAGTCTTGATCTCAATTGCGATATAACCCTGCCACTAACAGAAAAAGCGGATTCCGAAGCTACCGTAGAAGCTTGGACAATTAGTAAATCACGGGCCATGACGGCTAGAATCGGAAATTGTGCTTTCTTTTCTTTCCACCAAGCCAAAATATCCAAACTTTCAAACTCTTCAAATATCATTTTTGATAAAAAATCACATGACATTTAATTTCCCAACTCGCTACTTGGGGTGACAATACGTGATCGTTTGGATTGGGAATTTACAAGAGTGTTAAAAAGTGACAAATTTATGTTACTTGGACCTCTACTAGATGATTTCACATTCGTTCTCATTTGATCATGTATTACACTACTTGATCCGTATTTAGTTAAATAAATTACAAACATGTCTCGAAAATATTTGTTAAAATAATTTATTTAGTTTTGGACAAAGTTGGGTTCATCATCGGTTAGATTAAAAGCAAACGCAATTTGTTCAATTAGTGTTTCAACCCTGCCAACATTTAACGTTGAGTTTAAAGCGGCGACACAAGTAAAAATAGGGGAGATCTCCTTAAAATATTTTGAAAGTTTTTCCTTCATTGCAAAGCAAATTTCTTAAAAAACTTCGATTTCAAATTCAAAGTCATTTAGTCGGGTAGCCAATAAAAATATTTGATTAAGAACCAACGGGCTAGTAGGATAATAAACACCGGATAAAAAAATAGTTACATTTTTAAAACCCCAAGCAAATCGGTTATTTTAGTTGTAGTTTCCCAACTCGAATCCGGATAAATGTTTGGGACATGACCCCTCTCCAAAAGTTTATCGTGAAATGTTTGCAATGTTTCCCTTTGCCTTAAGGCGGTATACATCATCATCCAAGTTGAGTTCCAACGAGTTGGACAATCTAAATTAGGACCCAAAGATTTTTTATTAACTGACTTACAAAATCGTTTATAATCATTTAGTCTTTTGTTGTTGTTACAAAGAACCGATTTTACTATTGCTTTAAATTCTAATTTAATTGGCCCAATAACCTCCAAACCGACTTGCACAGATAAATTAATTATGTGTGCAACGCAACGAGTATGAAAAAATGCACCGTCTAAAATCGGTGAAAGTAATATTTTCAATATTGAAATCGCGTTTGTATTATTCGATGCATTATCAAAGGATATAGAAAAAACTTTATTTTCTAATTTATAAAGACAAATTATCCTTTTTAAAAGTGTAAATAAATTAACACCGGTATGCGGCTCACCGATTAATTCAAACGCGATTGTTCTTTTTATCATTTGTCAATTATCTTGATCTAACCAATGTGCCGTAACGACTAAAAAAGAATTTTCGGTATTATGAAGGGAACTCCAAACGTCACATGTAAGCGATACACCATAACGGTGTTTTTGGAATCCTTTTCCCTCGTTGTACGCCACATTTTTATAGCATCTCTTCTAAGGGTAGTACGACTTACTTTAGTATAACGTAGTTGCATTAGTTGTTGAATTGTTGCCGTAAAATCTTCATCATCAAAGTGGTCGAACGGCAATGTTTTTGTAATCACAAATATTGTAAACGCTTCTCATAATTTTTCGTTGTCGTAAACAAAAACACCACCTTACGATGTAAGATTCGATTGACTTGGATCCGATCTTGAGTGAAGTGCCTTGCATGATTTTGTTAAATGGTTCTTTAACGTTCTGTTTTCTTCCGGTGCAAACAACTTTAGACAAAGTTTACAACGCGCCCTCCTCGAGCCATTTGACATCTCACATAAATCGTAGTGATATCAAATATCTTTGTTTCGAGTGTGTTCGATCACTCTCACGACTTCAAGGTTTTCCCTAACGGAAGATTCAGCCGTGTTACTTGTAGCCATGAGGAACAAAAAATTACAAAATAAGATTTGAAAGATGTTTAGGTGTTGTGTAATAAGATTTGAGAAAGTTGTAATCAACCAAATACATCCCAACCTATTTATACATGTTTAGGGTGGTAAAATGGTAATTTTTTTAGAAAAAAACGATCACAAAACCCCCCAACGGCTATATTAATGGCTAGTTTTTTTTAAACCCATACCGATTTTTTTAGATAAAAAATTAGTTTTTTAACCGTTTTTTTAAACCGGTTTTTAATCTATTAAAAAACCGGTCTTTCAATTTTTCTCAAACCAGTTATATTATCCAATTTTAAAAAAATTGGTTTTTCTCAAAATTTAGTTTCAAATATTTTTTATGCAAAATCGGATATTCGAATTTGTTGTGTACTTCTAACAACAAGCACCAGAGAGAGTCGGCGCCGGAAAATACTCGAACGAGGATCCGATCGCTTGGGTTTTATCACCGGTCACCTTCAAAACCTCCCTCCTCCTCTTTCTGACGACCAAATCGATACCAACCCTCCTCCGCCACCGTCGGTCTCCCACGCTCCAGATCCACCACCCGACTTCCCAACCAAAACCGCCGGTACCCTTTTTCTCTCTCCCTCCATTTTCATTTTTGTGTTTTTCCCCCCCCCCCCCCAAGGGTCAGTTTCAGTTCATCGTGTCAATTGAAGATCAAGGTTTAGCTGAATCCTAGCATTAGCAATTGGAAAAAGAAAATGAAATTAGGATGTTAGCTGAATTTTGCATTTGGGAAAGCTAGTCAAGATCTCTTTTCAGCTTTAGCTTTTTCGGTTCTTGAAAGCATTGGACTTTTTGAAATAACTCTAAAGGTAATAAATGTTCAAAATCTCTCTTAGTCACTAATCATATACACAATCTACATATACAGCTATTCGAACTTAAACTCTCTAAAGAAAAAATAACACTTCCTTTTACCTCGTTGATTACTCAACGGATTTTACATATTTATAATTGTATATACGCTAAGCGCCATCAAATGTCCTTATTTGATATCACTAAGTAACTGAAGTAATGAACGAAAGTTCTCGATATACCGATGGTTTTGTTGATGGACTCCTTGTTCTTTTGGTTAATGGCTTTCGTGTTTTTATTGCCATGCCGTTTCTCTTGATGTCCGTGATGAAGCCTCTACTTCCGAGTTGCTAAACGAAAATCATGGTTCCAATGCAGATCAGAGTCAGCGCAATGCTTATAATGGTGGAATTGGTGAAGGATCAACATCCAACAGACAGGATACAAGTGGTCAAGTAAATTCACCGCCATTTCCATCGGATGATCGAAGTTCATCGATTACCTCATCAGGGACGGTACAACATTCGGAAACACGGACTCAAAAACATTACTTTTTCACTACTAAGCAAGTAAGTTCCGCGATTGATGCATCTGAGAAGGCCCGCATTTTATGTTCAGTAATTGTGGCTATTTTAGTTGTATTGGTACGGGCGGGGTTTCCTCTTCTAGGGAACAGATTCGTGGGGAACATCATTAGCATCAGGCCACTTTACTTCATCTTGTTGACCAATGTAACGCTGGTGATGGGGCGACTTCTTTACGGTGACCATGTAAGTTCCCGGAGAGCCATTGCAGAAGAGAACAAACCCTCTTCCACGGAGGATGATAATTGGGCCGAGCAATTAAGCAAGACGTTGGGAGGTAGGATTGGTAGCAAAGAAGGCGATTGATGCAGTGTTCATGGATTGTAGTGTATATCTCATAATTGTCATATGTGGCCTCCGCTTCAAATGACAATTCGGAAAAGCATGTTTCTTTTGATTAGTTTCTTTATGTGTTGGGGATTATATTGTATCTATTTGGTCTCCCTGTTGAAGTTCCCAAACTGCAATAGATCAAGAATAGTTTTCTTTGCTGCACTTGCAAGTTATACCTTTGCATTTGACCCCGACCGACGAGTTTCGATCCGATTTTAAAGGTTTTTTTAAAAAAATTAAAATTTAGGTTAGATGGAGTTTAGGTTTTGGATAAAAAGTATCATACCTCACCTAATATAATAGTATAATTTTATTCTACATATTTAAGGTAATTTTTATAATACTATTCTTTGCATATTTTTTAAAATTAAATCCTTATTTTATTGGATAAGAACGAGACTTTTTATATTTAGGTTAGATTTTTATCTTATATTTTAGATTGGGTGAAACTTTTCTAAACATGAATCGAGTATCGGGTGAAGAATATACCATTTGAGTCGGATTTAAATAATTTATTAATCAAATGATAAAGGGCAAAATTATTGAGATAATGGTTTGAATTTTTTTTTGACTCATATTAGGTGCTAAGGGAATTATTTTTTCAACTAGGGTGGAATAAATAAACAATGTAGGGAAGTCGACTGGACCACTAAACAACTTTGGGAAGCTAATCGAAAGAAATGACGTCTTTGAGGAAGACGCATGTGTCAACACACCTTTTCGTCCTACTAGAATTCAAACTCCTAAAGATAGGATAGAATTTTACTAGGATTCAAAAAATAGGATAGAGTTCTACTATTATTTAAACTCCTAAAGATAGGATCCACAAGCACTATAAATAGCCATTGTAACTCACTATTGTAACACACGATTTTACACACAAAACACAGAGGAAAGCACGGAAAATACAAAGGCAAAGTTGTTGTAAACGATTCGAAAAGGAAATAAAAGGTAGCATTTTCTTTTTTCTTTCTTTTGCATGTGCACGTTATTTTTCTTGAAATTTGGTTCGAATAACCCAAAACGTGGGTTGCGCCGATGACCAAAATGGGTGGGGTTTCGATGTTTCGAACCTAGATCTACCCCGAGGCTTATTTTTAAAAATCGATTTGATTTTCGGTTAAAGGAGGGGAAGAGTTTTTTAAAAATCTATATTAGTCCCTTTATTTATTATATGGATATTTTATTCATTTTTTTATTATTCATGTTATTATTATTATATGTATATATATATATATTAAATTTTTTTCATTTGATTTTTTTACTATATTTTATTATTATTATTATATATATATTTCTTTAATATTTTACTTATAAATCTAATATTACTATATATATTATAATTATCTTTATCTAGTCGTATGTATTTTTTATACTTTTAATAGTTTATTTATATACATATTATTAAATATATATATTCTTAATTATTTTTATTTGATTATTTCTTTATTTATGTAATATATCTTATAACTTTATATATTTATATTATTTTTTATTATTTTCGTTTTTTTATTCATTATTATTATATTATTATTTTTTTAAAAAAAACCTTGTGTCTTTATCATTATTATTATTAAACATTATATTATATACTACTAACCTAGAGGGCCCATTTTTTTGGTCTTATTTCTTACTAAAGCCCCCCACTTTCGGTGAATCGGGAGGATAGCTTTTCTATTTTTAAGTATTTGGTGTATATATATAGCTTATTTATTTTATTAATACTTTGATATATATATATATATTTATATTTTTTTCCTTTTTTCAAATATTATTATATATAATTATTACTTTACTATTTTTTTCTTATCTTACTTATTTATTTTATTTTTCCATTGTATCTTATTTGTTTTCTTTACCTTGTTTATCTAACACATTTCTCGATTTTTTTTTTCAAATCAATCAAGGGTAAGTAATTAGGATCGAAACTTTACCTTTTAATTTAACTTATTATTTTTCTTAATTAAGACAACTGGAAATTACGTAGTACCGAAAGGGCGGTTCAAGGGTGCTAATCCTTCCTTGACCGTAACCGACTCCCGAGCCCGACATATTTCTGGTAAGACGCAGATCAGGTAAGAAATAGGGTATCCGGTCAACCCATTTATTTTTAAATAAATGATCGGTGGCGACTCCAATCCACATTTTTCAAGTCGAAGCCCAATTCCGGGGCCCAACCGAAAGACGGTTGCGACAGCTTGGCGACTCCGCTGGGGACACAGGTAAGTGAGTCAGGCTAAGGTAATTTCCAATTGTCTTTTTAATGAAAATGGTAAGTTTAAATTTTAAGGTAACATTTCGATCCTTATTACTTACTTTTGATTATATTTTCGAGTAATTAGTTGTACTAACCGTTTTCTCAATGATTTCAGCCCTTAAAGTCTTTTTTCATCTATGGCTCTAAACCCGAGCTCTGAACCCGTTTTAAGTGGGGGTGAAAGCGACGCATTCGTGTGAATTTATTCACCGCATATGCCTAGCAAGTAGCCTTCGGGATTCATATACCTTATGTCTTCGTGTGAATTTATTCTCCGCATAGACATAAGGGAATGTGTCCTCTCGAGTTTAACTTAGTCCACACAAGCCTGTGATGGGTTTAGGACTAAGGGTCTGGTAAGCCCAAAGGGGCACCAGCAAGGAGAACTCGGGTACCGTTTTTTTAGAACTTAAACCGGGAGACTATGGAGAATTAGAGCCCACCCCAAAACCTCACTTCAAACCCTAGGCTGTTTTATTTCATGCTTTACTTTCTGTTCAAAGCATGCGAACTAGACAAATATGCGGTTATGATTTGTTTGAAATTAGCATACGGGATAGAGATCATGTCCGGGTAGGAATAATAAGCATGTGGGGTAGATATCATGTGGGGTAGGACTTTCATTTTTATGATCGTTTTTGATTATTTTTCACCTCACTAACTCTTTTCATCTTTATTTTATTTTATTTTCATCACTTGCATCATTAAAAAGAGGTCATTGATCCACTAAAACGTGTTTGTTAAAACTCGAATAATCTGAATCCATGGACAAAGGTGTTGTAATACAAGAGATGAAAATACAGAGGATAGTCTACAAGGCGACTATGTGTCACATTCAATCCAGAAGACGTGGTGCCCACAATTGAAGAGTATATCACTCTGCTGCATTATAAAAGACCCAAAATGAACCGGGTCTACATCAAGCACAATGAAAGCTTATCTTTGAAGAACTGACTGGCAGAGGTTGCAGGGGCAAGATGAAGGTTATGTATCTCAGAAGTCCCTTTGAACACAACAATGGCAAAATGATAGCTGAAATTGGAGACCATTATCGACGAATTCAAGAAACAGATTAATGAACTTCACATAGTTCCTATCAATTAAGGGCTCCAATGACGAATTCGTTGGGAGCAGGCTCAACAAAAGTAAATGCTCAAGATGCGATCATTCGAGACTTCTTGGACCAGTACAAAAAACAACTCAACATTTTCACGGTTCATCCAGAGAGGCCGGAGCGGTTCGACAGGTTATTCAACCGGTGAAAGACGAAAGCAGAAGACTAGTCAACATGTCAGAAGCTGTCAGGATTATTTTTTTTCCTTAAAAGATAAAACATTTTTGTCCCCAATAAGGATTATTCATAATAACAGTCACATTTCTTGGATCAATGCCTCGAACATTTCATGCATTCTTGCATTCTTGCATTTTTGCATCTTCATCTACATTTTTAAGCATTTTCATAAACATGAAATTAAATCACGGAGGATTCGATGAAGTGGTCTTAACCACATTACAGCATATGGAAGCCAGATTTTAACAATTAAAGAAAAACTGAAATCAGTACAGGGGGAGCTGGATCAGCTGATTGTAGGACTAAGCCTGCCAGGATGATCTGAGAAAAGAGTACCCATCTCCTAAGGGCTACGATGTTGAAGTTGTTGCCACATAATGATTCCCAAACATTCTTCTAAAAACTGTAAGGCGCTTGCCGAAGAAGGGGGCATGGCATATACCATTTGCACTTAGAGAATTATTTTGTTTGAACACATCTTTTAAACGATTGAATTCATGTTACTTTCTAAGGTGGAGCAATTGAACAAATTTTAATCTTTAGTTCTTTGAATATTAAATGAATTAAGGATTCTTTTAATTCTTCAAGAATTATAGATTTTTGACATATGACAAGATTAGACCTTTCTTACCCTGTCTCAAACCCTAGAATAAAATACCTTGATTCTTTACCCAAAATAACTCATGGTCATTACCAAAAAACCAAATTTTGACATTACCTCCATTTGAAATTCTTGAACATTACCTTTATCTTTTTGATACACCCATACCTTTCTTTGAGTCAATAAGATCACACAACTGTCTTTTTAGACCCAAAATTAACCTTTTTTACCATTAAAACCCAAGGCATTGAGTTGTTCATTTGAACATGAGCATTCTTCCAAGATACAATTTGGGGCATCTCGCCGGGAGCCTGAACATTGAGACATGATGGGAGCAAGGAGCAGAAAAAACAATTCATTTGAAATAATTCTATCTTGCATTAATTGTACTGTTTTCATGTAAATATAATTAATCCTAAAAATCTATCCCCCTGGGGATACCTCTTCTGTGAAGACTTCCATGTATGAAATGATGAACGGCTTTCTTTCTTTATCCCTTTACAACAGGAGAAAATATATATCCCTTGTGTCCCCTTTTGAGCCTGTAGTATTTTTCTTCTGATTCAACCCTAACCAAGGATCACCCTCCACACTGGGGGGCAAGGTGGAGAAAATCTGCTCACATGAGTGAAGACATTGATTCAGATGAGATACCGAAAGGTGAACCAAATACCAAGTGCGATGATTCAATCAGAACAAAAGGGCAAAAAGAAAAAAGAAAAGAAGGAAAAAAGGAAAAAACAAGAACAAAAAAGAAAGAACAAAAATAAAAAAGGGAACAAAAAGCACATGCAAAAATTCCCTAAAGACAAATGGTGCATCAA